AGCTTAGGCAGAATCACGAACCTTTCTCAAAACTTTCCCAGTAACCCCTGAAATCTAAGAGTTCTGATCTACTATCAGTGGAGTAGATTTCTCTATGAAAGTCTGAATTCCCTAGCCTATCTCCAAAGTCTAGAGACTCCCTACAAACTTGCTGTGTTTGTATCATCCTTCATGGTTAGTTACCTTAGATTTCCAACACTAAATCATTAATTTTTTCCCTTTAAGTTATTAGTAAGAATTGACAACTCAGTGCACAATTAACATTTGACAGCTCCCAGTGTACATTATCAAAAACAATTCCTTATTTCAGTGGCTTTATATCAGATCTAAAAAATGTATTTAATATCTTTCTTTGTAGTTGCTCTAGCATCAAAATAAAAGGAGAGAGTAGCCATATAAGTGGGATTCCACTATCTTAATGATTTATTTTGAATTTACACTGAAACCTTAATAATTAATCCTAAAAAGATGTTTTTATTTGCTTTTGTGGAAGTTATCTCATAATTCTCCTCTCTACCCCAAAAACCCTTCAAGGACAAACCTAGATGTTATCAAGTGCTACATAAGTTATATAACAAAAATCACTAGCAAAGACTTCAATTTATGTTATGCACACTTTTTGAAAATAATGTATACTTTATCATTGGTACAGCAGGAGAAATAACAAAGTACTTTCATGAATTTCTGGTGCAGCTTGAAGGCTTCTAATCCCAAAATAAAGTACATCTTTTTTAAAGTCTATTTTGTAAAACATTTTTATAAATGTATTACAGAAGGTATACTGCTCTGAATAATTTTACAAAGTTATATATTTCCCTTAAAATGTAATTAGCTATGAAGTATTACCTATTAAAATATGCTCTTTGCTGAAATACTTAAAACATTAAGTTCTTACCTCACAAGACTGCTTGCTTTCCATTATCTTTAAAATAGAATCTTTCAAAGCATGATGAACAAACTGTGTAGCAGTGGCTTTCATATACTGCTCCATCAAGGTGCTTGCAAGTGTTGTGGCTCGAAATAGGGTAGTGGCTTCATCTACAGAAATATGTCAGAAGACTATTTGTAAAGGACTATACTAATATGACCAAATTGAGAGTGAATTCATTTTTCCTCAGCAGTTACAGCCACTTAAATGTACTTTTGCATGCAGCATTGAAGTATTGATTACAACATCCTATTTTTCTATAGCCTTAACTTAGTAAAAGACTTTCATATGTATAACCTCGTTAGATCATAAGTAGGAGAAGGGATTAACGCTACCATGTTCATATGAAAAAAATGAAAGTTTGGAATGGTTATATGACTTGTTTAAGATCAATTATCCGGTTACTGACAAAACAAGGGCCAGAAACCAGCTTTGCTGCCCACTGATCCCATGCTTTTGAAAAACTTGAGTTTATTTCCAAATAAGAATATAACATAAGTCACGGTATAAATTAATTTATTAGCCTAAAACATGGCTATTGAGTTGCAGTAAAATAATGAAACTTAAATATTGTCAGAAAAGATAATCTATGTGTCCAGTAGCCGGGGAACTACCTGTCTATGGAAGCTAGAATTAAAATGCAGCTGGCCACCCAACTTCTGTCCAATGAATTGGCAAAAATTAAACAAAAGAATATGGTAAGTATACCAAACTATTCTTGATAATGATAATGAAGCATTGTGGGCCATTGATCTGGGCACAGAAATCACTTTCTTATGGTGTCTAGTACTAATCTGTTACAAAAGAAACCTGTATTAAAAATACTAGCTCCCCCTAGTAACCAACATAAGAATCAAATTGGCATCCTAACTGCAGTTTTTAATGAAGGAAAAACAGAATAACTAACTTTTCAGTATGAT